TACTTACCTATAATGTATCCCAAATCCGGGTAGAGGATTCAAACCCAAACAAAGAACCGTAATGTAAAGCAATCAAATAAACAATGTAAGCGAGTAAATGTGATCTAACCCTAAGGTAACCCCACTTTTAGAACTTCCCCAACAGAGTCTCCAGTTCTGTGATACGGTGGGAGAACTAACTTGAGGTTTTTGCGTTTGATCGCAAATGTTACGGTTAGCAAGAGTCGCCACCGGCTTTTCTTTTATCCAAAAGGAAAGGTGAAAAAGCAAAGGAAAGACCTTTGAGATTATTTCTTGAGTTTGGGGGGTAGATTATGAAAAGGGAAGGTATTATCATCCTTTTCATCCATGGTTTTCCATGGGCTCTTAGTTACTTGCTAGATCACTTGCTTTTGTTATTTGAAATTATGCTTTGTGTGGTTTTTGAAAGTATTTTGTAAAGAGGCCATTGTTTATGCAATCTTTGTAATGATTCTCGTTCCTAAGAATGTATACAAAGATGTAGATCTTTTGAATATGTTTTCAAGTTTGTAAGATGTTTTGAAATGGGCAGGTGATTGTTTTGAAAATAGCAAGGATGTTTGTTTTGAAATGGAGCAAGTAATTAGGATCAATATACCTACTCAGATGTCTTTCTTTTTCATTTTTTTTCCTTTGACATTATTGTCTTACTATTGATTTGGTAAGAAACCATATCTTTGGATGTAAACGGGACGGGCGTGGGTCATTGTATAACCATGATAAGCAATATTGCAAAATACACTACTAAAAAAATGACATTTGAGAAAAGATTTTTACATCAGGTATCAAAATATATGATGTAAAAAATACCATTAAAAACATTTTACATCAGTTATTTATTTGCAATGATATAAATAATAAGAAAAAAAATATTTTTCGCTGTCTATTACATCGGGCAATGTCATCCACCGATGTAAAAGGTTTTCAGAAAAAAAATACGGTGGCATTTTTGTAAATAAGAAATAAGGTGGCAGAATTGTAAATAAAAAACAAGCAAGATATTACATCGGGGTAACTAAAAACCGATGTAAAAGGTGGCAAATAAGAAACACGCTTGTATTGGGCCTTGTTTCCACCGATGTAAAAACTGCAAAGGCCCAAACCCTTACATCGGTCCGTTGTTTCCACCGATGTAAAAGGTTATATATATTATTCAGTTTATTTCCTAAATGCACATTATTTCCACCATACAACTTCCTCTCACGCATACGCCGCCCCTGTTCACGCATACGCCTCACTGTACAACTTCCTCCTCGCCGCCGTTTCACGTCTCCTCGCTGCCGATTCACGCCCTTCACGTCTCCTCGCCGCCGATTCACGCTCTTCACGACTCCTCTCCGCCGATTCACGCCCTTCACGACTCCTGCCGCCGATTCACGCCCTTCACGACTCCTCGCCGGCCGTTCCGAGCAGGGGGCTATCTACCTGATAGAGTTATCAACTTGATTCTTCAATATCTGAGTAACAGGTAGACTGATTAATTATCATTGTCGTTCTGTTTCATTAAATTGCATCTCTAGGCTCCTTTCTTTAACTACATTTTCTGTTCTAATTGTTGTAGGACTATACATATTTAAGTAGCTAATTGAGTGTGTTGACCTCACTAGGGATTTTAGGTTGCCAAAGACGGTATGTTTGTTTGCCATTCCATTTCTTCATTTTGTTTTAATTTTTTGATTTCTTGTGTTCAATTTCTATTTTGCAGAGGATATTGTGGATCTTATGGTAGTTTGTGGTGTTGTTCCTGCTCTGGTGAAGGTTTTGCATATGGTGTCTAATGTAGGTGGTTTTGACGCTGATACTTATGACGTGGAAAAAGACTGTGTCTCTATCCTTGGTCATCTCGCTGTCAAGGTAATTAACCTGTATTTTTTGAACTGTCTAGCACTATAACCATTGTTTTTAGAAGATGGTTATGTTTCTGTCCGTGTTTCGTAGATATTTTACTTATGCTGATCTTCATGTTCAAACAGCCGGATCATCAACAACTCATTGTTGATGCTGGACCGTCTTGTAGAATTGTTGATGAGACCGAAGGCCCCTGGTGTTTCTCAAGCACTTATTTCTAGTCTTCTTGGGAGAGCAGTTGATGCAATAACTAATCTTGCTCATGAAAATATCAACATCAAGACCCTTGTCAGGTTTGTTTCTTCCGAATTCCAATAATTTAGAATGTTATTAAGTAGTCTGCTTTAGCATTATACAGCTATATCATATCAAAATTTGGATGCCACCATTGTTTCGTTTTCAGAGCGTCTTAGTTTTCGGAGGGTTTATTTAACCATGTTTTAATTATGAAAAATATTATATGAGACCCTATATAGATACAATTTAAGTGTGATAAATTTTGGGGCCTTTGTGGTATCCTGTTTTGCACACTCTCAAAGATAGTCTTGTGATACACTATTTAATGTAAAATATTGTCAGTTAGCTCCTATAGCGGAATGTTACCTATCTATTTATAAATGCTTAGTTGTAATGGCAAGTCTTAGCATTCTTAATTTTAGGTTCCTACAGGAGATACATGACATTTTTAATAATTTTTTAGGATAGTAAGACTTAAGGATTTTAAAGGATCTTTTTAGCATAGTAAGACTTACAGGATTTTTATTTGCTCAGCTATGCATATGGATGCTAATTAGTGTTTATGTCAAAATAGGATATTTATCAAATTTATGCTATGCTGTTACACTGATACTGGGAAAATGAAAACCCCATACTTGATTTTAGTACTTTTTGGCTGTAGTTTTTATCATGGAAATATATATTTGATATCTAAATTTCCAATAAGACCCTGTGACAAGTTATTGTATTCTGAAGAGCAAGGGTGTTTTAAATTTAGAATACTAGTTGTTATGTTGAATGCTTTTTATTTTCCACTGCTGAGTTGCAATATATTAATACTTTTCCCCTGAACTCTTTAATATATGCAGTATTTCAAGGAATAGCATGTATGCTTTGCTGCAACCTCGCCTTGATGTCCTACTATTTGAAATAGTATTCCCCCTTATGTGCTTTAGTGACAATGATCAAAAGCTTTGGGAAGAAGATCCACATGAATATGTAAGGAAAGGTTATGGTAAGTCATATCAGTGTATAAACACAGAGACATTTTTCCACAATTTGCATTGTGATTGCTTATTGGCGTACACTCTTTGTCACAGACATAATTGAAGATTTGTATAGTCCTAGGACTGCTTCCATGGATTTCGTGAGCGAGTTGGTTCGGAAACATGGAAAAGAAAATCTTCACAAGTTTATACAATTCATTGTTGAAATTTTCCGAAGGTAATATCTTGCTTAATGTAGAATGAGTTGTATACTTTTGTCGAGTATTTAGGTTTGTGCTATGCCAGGTATGATGAAGCCGCCATAGAATTTAAGCCATATAGACAGAAAGATGGTGCACTTCTTGCTATTGGGGCACTTTGTGACAAATTGAAGCAGACCGAGCCTTACAAATCTGAACTTGAGCGCATGCTAGTGCAACATGTCTTTCCCGAGTTCAACAGTCCTGTTGGCCACCTTAGAGCTAAGGTATATAAAAAAGCAATCCTAAATAATGTTTTTAAAATTCCAAAACAGGAAAAGTTCATGACAACCTGAATTTGCACCGCAAATTTGATTTGCATATCTGATCAAATATCCTCAATTATAAGCTCCTGAGTTTTCTATTGCTCAGCAATGTCCATGCACTTTTGAATTCTTAATTAATTCTTAAATCGTAAAGATACTAACAACCTAATTGTATTGTGTTTTCTTTATTCTTATATATAGGAAGCATGGGTTGCAGGTCAATATGCCCATATTACCTTCTCAGATCAGAACAATTTCCGGAAGGCATTGCAGTGTGTTGTATCCAGAATGCAAGATTCTGAACTTCCTGTGCGCGTTGATTCTGTTTTTGCCTTGCACTCTTTCATCGAAGCATGCAAAGGTAATTTTTACTCGTTTTGATTTGTTATTGTATCAAGTACCTTTTTTCTATGCAGTTAATATTTATACTTAATTTTTTATTCCTCAAATGATGCAGATCTGAATGAAATCCGTCCTATTCTTCCTCAACTTCTTGATGGTACGTGGCCATGAAAGTTTCGTCTTCGCCTCAGTATTATTATTTTGGACTTGCTAACTAAATTTAATCTAATTCGATTTTATCTAGAGTTTTTCAAACTTATGAATGAGGTTGAGAATAAAGACCTGGTATATACTTTGGAGACTATTGTGGACAAGTTTGGAGAAGAGATGGCGCCTTATGCACTAGGACTATGTCAAAATTTGGTTTCTTTCCAAGTATGTTGCCTAGCTGCATATTATATTTTTTTTGCTCTGTTCATAGTGAAGTGCCTAGTTTAGATGATTTATTGGTGTCCTGTTGATTTATTAATATTGAATTGAAGTAGAGAAGAGTTGGTGTCTCAGATTTAGCCTGAAGAAGATCACAACTTTAAACATCTTCAAAACATCATTAAAAAAGTTACAAGCTAAAAAGTAACATGGAATGGTATATGGTATATTTTCTGTTCCATGGCTTCTAATCAATTAACTGAAGTATGCCTAGCCTGGTTACTTCTACAATTTTGTCACTTCTCTAATGAAAAATAAACTAAAGTGTCACTTCTCTACAGTATGGGATAGAGAAGTGAGAAAAATAAATAGTTAATCGATTAATTTTTGTCTGTTTTCACCGAATGGAGGAGACACTTGGGGGTTATTTGATGGCTTGGGCATGTATGGAGAAAGACTTGTAAAAGAAGTGCATCACAAATATAAAGAGTCCATACATAGCATCTCAACATTTTAATTTATATTTATGTTAACAGAGTTTCCATCCTATACAATTTCACTTTGGTATATATTTATTTGTTAAGTTTTAAACTTCTGCAGATATTTTAGTTCCGTTGGACAACTATATTTCAAGAGGAACTGCTCATTTCCTTACTTGCAAAGATCCTGATTATCAACAAAGTCTATGGAACATGGTTTCATCTGTGAGTTAGATTTACACTGTTACTTTTCACCACCTGTTTGGTTGGACATGGAGTTTATATCGATAATAGTAACGATAATAAGTTTTTTTTTCCGGTTACTGATATTTACTTATATATCATGTTGCAGATTATGGCGGATAAAAATAAGGAGGATAACGATATTGTTCCAGCTCCAAAGCTTATTGAAGTTGTCTTCCAGAATTGTAGAGGACGGGTGGATCACTGGGTGGAGCCATATCTCAGAATCACAATTGAACGCTTGAACCGGACTGAAAAGTCATATTTGAAATGTCTTTTCATGCAACTGGTAAGGGGATCTACAATCAATAATTACATGAATGCAATTATCGGAAAATTGCTTTTGTTGCTTCCTGATTGTGATGTTTAGGCATGATAAATAATTGGATGTTTCTGCTCATTTTCACTGTTCAAGGAAAATCATTGTGTCCTGCTTTTATTGCTGTGGTTCTGATATAAACACGAAACACCTAATGTTGTCCATTATAGCTTCATATGGATTGCACTTCCTTGGCTGCTATAGTGTCTATGTAAACTATGTAAATTCGAGGTTGTTAGTTTGCCAAGGTTCTCAAAGATATTAGTCACAGGAAAGTGACATCACAACTTAACTTTTTCTAAGAGTAGCTATTTTTTCAGATTGCAGATGCTCTTTACTACAATGCAGCACTGACTCTCAGCATATTGCAAAAGTTGGGTGTCGCCTCTGAATTCTTCCATCTTTGGTTTCATTTGTTGGGACAAGTCAAAAAGAGTGGTTTGCGCGCTAATTTCAAACGGTATGCTCTTTTTTACCCTTTCACCGCTCCTGTGTCTCTTGGTATTTGCATACTGCTTCCATAAGTCAAAACTATTTAAGTTATTGTGTGTGAAATTTAAAGGCCTTACGGTGGTAAACTATCACTATCTTTATGCAGGGAACATGAGAAGAAAGTGTGCTGCCTTGGTTTAATTTCGTTGCTGGCACTACCGACTTATCAATTGCCTGGGGAGGCTTTGGGCCGAGTATTTCGGGCCACACTTGATCTTCTAATTTCTTACAAGGATCAAGTTGCAGGTATTTGTCTTGTTTATGTAACTTTGAGATGTTACAATAGTTATGAAAAGTAGATTTGTTTTTGTTGATGAGTACTTAGTTTTCGGTCTGTTGAACTCACTATGCAGAAGCTGCAAAGGAGGAAGAAGCTGAAGATGATGATGATATGGATGGCTTTCAAACTGATGACGAAGATGAAAATGGCAATGGTTTTGATAAGGGACTTTTTACATCGGTTATTACTCCCAACCGATGTAAAAAGTTGCGTCACTAGGGGCTTTTTACATCGGTTATTACTTCCAACCGATGTAAAAAATTGGATCAATTTTTTTAAAATAATGTCATAACTGTTTCTTACATCATTCTTACATTATAACCGATGTAAAAAAGGGACTTTTTACATCGGTTATTACTTCCAACCGATGTAAAAAATTGGATCAATTATTTTAAAAGATTGTCATAACTGTTTCTTACATCATTCTTATATTATAACCGATGTGAAAAAGGGACTTTTTACATCAGACCCAGAACCGATGTAAAAAGTATCTGATTTACTATATCGCCTGACTTTACATCGGACCCAGAACCGATGTAAAAAGTCAGTTTCACCTGATGTAAAAAGTCATTTCTGCACTAGTGATATCTTAGCATTCTTTTTTAGGGACTAAGATCATTTGTAAGGCAACTTAGATAGTGCCATCGAGGGACTATGATCTTGAATTCTGCTTGTCTTTGCTAAGATACCTCATATGCGTAATATGGCCATTTTTGTAAGGCAACCAAGTGGATTTACCCTAGGGGTGTTTGTGTGCAAGTGTGTTGTTTTCATGCTTGTTTTAGTCTTGAATTAGGGTTTTCTAAGTGTTGATTTTAGTCTTTCCATACAAACCCTAATTACTAGCATGTTATATGAAAGCGATAAATTGCAAAATTTAAAGTTACTACGCTATTACAACATTTATGGGGAGGTATACAATTTGTAAATGGGGATTGCAAGAAATCAAAACCCTAATTAGTCTATTACAACCAAATTGAATTTATACAAGAATTGAAATAAATAATGCACAAGATGAATTAAATATGCAAGAAGATAAATATGAAGAAAAATAGATATTTTGTTTGATGTTTTATGAAAAGGAATTTTACCTTAACCTAATAAAATAAAGAAAATAATTTATTAAGTTTGAAATTGTTGAGAAAAGATTTTAGATGAAAACCCTAATTCTATTAATCAAAAGAAAATAAGTTAAAGAAAAAAAAAATTTGGAATTTTTTATCTTGAAAGTATTTATAGCATTATAAAGTATTTTTTAGTCTTTTTGGTATTAAAATAATATATTTTAAACGGTGTGAAGAAAAATAAATAAATAAACAATACAATATTAATTAATTTTATAAGATTTACTTAAATAAACAAATAAAGTATTAAGAATAAAAAATATTTTTATTTATGGAAAAATAAAATAAAATAAGTCCAAATATAAAATATCATTTTTTGCATTTTATGATTTTTTGTATTTAAAAATAAATATATTTAAGAAAAAAATAAATAAAACAAATAAATAAATTAATTAATTGGGCCAGGGGGTGCCAAGAGCCAGTATGGAGGTTAGTCAGCAAAAACAAAAACAAAAGCTAAGCCCAAAAGGCCCAGCGCCTGTTTGCTAAAAAATGACCAAAAAAGTGTAAAATAAATGCAAAAAGGCAGTGTTGAGGTTCAAACCAATAACCTCTACCAATTACGCGCGCTGCCTTACCTCTGGGGTGACTGTACATCCGTTAACTTAAATGAAAGAATAAATACATAAGGTAAAACGTCTCCATGACCTGTACTTCGTCTTCAACCTTCAGACAGCCGGACCACCTCTATCTCATTCATTTCTCAACAAAATTGGAAAATGCAAACATGAAAGTTGTGCTATTTTTCCTCATGAATCCAACCATGTAACTTATGTAAACTAAAAGTCAAAGATGAAGATTAATTTTGTTGGCCATAAATTGAAACTAATTTTTTCAGAAAGTTCAAATCTAAAATTCTCTACACATTGTCAATATAAATGAAAATTATGGATATGGTTAGCTTTAGAGCAATGATATCTACATTTTTACTTTAGAATGTATGCACAGAGGATGCTTGTATCAAGATATTGAAGTTAGAAAACTTATCTCTTGCAGATGGATTCGTGTATGGAGTTTGAGCAAGCTTTGAGGTGCCCTAAGAATCTGTTTAGCTTGCCTGGACCTCCTTGAGTGTATTCCAACTCCTACTTTGCTTTGAAAGTCCCTGAATCTCCCTACTCAAGTCAACCTGCAAGCTTGATGTTTGAAAATGGTGAATAATGATGGAGGGGTTACAGTCTTGAAACAGGGGCTTGGATCACTTGTGTATGATGTATGTAAGGTGTTTGAATGATTAAGAATCAAAACGCACGAGTGGAAATAGAGATGGAGAGTTTTAGCTCAAAACTATCAAGTTGAGTAGTCTTGTGTAGCAAGGGTGTTTGGGAGAGTTTTAGGATGCTTGAAATCATCCCTTAGCTTGCAATAAACTTGTTAATATGTATGGAAAAGATTAGAGCACAAAATCACTCCAGGTTTCTGAGTTATAGGGTTATGGCTCTATAACTTGCTTTTGAAGAAAAGTGAAATGACAAATCTCAAGTATTGTACAAGCATGTCCTAAGCTTCTTCAGGCCTTAGACAACTTCCTTTTGGATTATAGGGGTTGTGTGTGCATAAAGAACAAGTTAGAAGCTCCAGACAAGTTGACTTTGTGATTAAAGCAACTTTTCAAGAATGGAATGGTAACTTTCTTTCTAAAATGGCAAATTGGCTTGGACAATGCTTGGAACACTTGGATAATAGCTCAAAAGCAAGTGTAATCTTCTGATTATGGAGAGATATTTAGGTTTAGAAGCCTGCAAAACAAGATTGTGCAACATAGGTTTGAAATTGGATTCTTGTTCATCACAAAATGCCTTGTAATTCAAGTGACAAAACACCAACTTCATCTCTTCGATTCTCCCTACTCAAGAATGATCTCAAGGAGTTCTTAGACACTTTGGAAAGCTTGTAATATGCTCTACAACCCATATTTTAATTGATTTTAAAGATTCCCCATGGAACTATATGAAAAAGTTCCATAAAGTTGAGTCAAAATCCTGACCAAATTAGTGCAAAATTTCACTAAGTGTTTAGTTTCATGACCCTATGTTCTTGAAATTGTAACTTGAGATCCAAGCACTTTTGGAAGAAGTTGTGTGAATCAAAGTTGTGGATTTCATGGAGATATGAAAATTTCATGTTGGAAGTTTCTTTTGAATCATCTTGCATCATGGTGAAAATTTGACTCAACGTTATGGAAAAAAAACATAAATTTTCAACACTTAGAAAATTTTCTAAGTTTAGAAATTTTGACTTTTCAAAATGAAATCTTCAATTTTTGATTTCTTGATGAATAAGTTTCATATTTTGACACGTTTTGATGAATTGTGATCTTTGGCACTTGAATTTGACAAAAAAAAGTCAAAGTTTAACTTTTCAGTATACAGTTGACTTTTGATTAGTTGACTGCAAAATTCAACTGTTAATCCAATGGACTTGCAATGTTTGAAACCATGTCCTTAGGTCAAAATGATGAAATTGGACTCTTGAGATCATGCCTTAAACCAATTGACTATCTGCTAGGTCAAAAACCAGAAATTGCCCTTTCCCAGTCAAAACCCTAATTTTGACCATTTTGCCCTTTTGGGGATTTGATCAAATCTCTTGAGGAATTGTGGTCCAAACTTGATTAAATGATACATATGAGTCTAAAATGATGATGTGGATCAAAAATTATGAAGTTTTACTGTAAATTGGCCATAGTTGACTTTTCCCCCAATACAATTGATTTTTAGGTCAACTGTTCAATTGACTGAGCAAAAATGTGATCCAAGGCTTGAAATTTGGCATGAGTAATCTTGGGGGTCCATAATGGTACATGAAAGTCATATGAAGCATTGATAGTTCAAAAATCCTTGTGCAAACTCAAATCCTAATTTTGGTCATCAGTGCCTAAGGAGGTGTCTTGAGCTGATCAAACCCTAGTGCAGTCTTGAGCCCAAGGAGATCTTGTGAGCAAATTCTTGATAAGTGAGAGGGAAAATTTTGGGGTACAACACAAGGGAATCTTAGTAAATCAGCAAAACAAAGTCATTTCGAGAGTAAATAGGAGTGTAAGGGATTACCTCTTGGAGAACTCTTTCGAACGAGCTTTTGAACACGGTTTCGAAATTCCAGTTAAACTCGATGTTCCTATTTCCTTCTTCTAATTCTCTTCTGATTGCTACTGCTTCTTTGTTGGTTGTTGTTTGTTGATCTTCTTCTTTCTGAGTTATATTGCTATGCATTTCTGTTTGAACTTGTTGTTTTGTTCGTTGTGGTGCATTGTTGTCTGCGACAGTGAACCAGATGGTGTTGAACGAGCATAATGGGTGTTGAGCGGTTTCGTGAGTGGTTGACGGAAGGGGAAAAGAAGAGCGCGAGGAGGCAAAAGAAAGAAAGGAGTTAGGATTTGTACTTTTACAACCTGGTCTGGTTAAGGAAGGGCTCTGGGTCCGGTTTGACCTGGTTCGGCCTAGATTTTCTTTTTTTAATCTTAAAAAACATTAGAAAAGAAAATAATTAACAAAAGGGAAACTAAAAAAAAAATAGGGAAATTCTAGCGGAGTATTTTTTTTGGGCTTGGGCCACGGTTTGAAGTGAAAATTATAATGTCGCAGTTTTTCTTTGTGGATTAAACTATCTATAATTTCTTAACTGTGACTTAAATATAAATGTGATTTTGTAACCGTGACAATTGAAGAAAAGGCCACAGTTTCACACTCCGGATTCAATATTTTAAAACGTATGACTACGATTTAAAAATCTTGGCCAAAACTTGTATGTGACTACAGTTTTTTTGTGAAAAAATTTAATGTGGTCGTATACCAAAAATATTATAGTGATTCTTCATATAACGCATGTGGTCACTTTGTGTTGGGTGCATATGATCATGTTAATTTAAATATAAATAATAATATTAAATTTGAGATATATATAATGATATGATCATTGTTCTGTATGGAGACAGATGATCATATCTTTATTAAGATGGATATGATCATGTGTAAATGATTATAGATTTTTTTTACATAAAAGATAAAAATTTCATCAAAATTTTAAAATAAAAAATTATTGTTTTTAAAACTATTTTTAGTTCAAGACACCTTAAGAGACTTTTTGGCACCCTCA